AGAAATTGCCCTAGATTTCAGGTTAGTGAATAGCTATAATTTGCCCAGATATGTCGTTATCCCTAATCATCATGATCATCATCATTATCCCATGATTCGTAGTTTTTTTTTCTTCTTTCGGAGTCCGAATCGAATGAGTGATATTTGGATTCCCATTGCATCCCAACAATATAAAATATCATAATACTATATACTACTAATAATAATGATAATGATAATGATAATAATAATATATATATATATAATAATATAATATAATATAATATAATATAATATAATATAATATAATATAATAATAATAATTAATTAATAATAATAATAATTAATAATAATAGTAATAATAATAGTAACAATATATATATATATATATAATTAATAATAATAATAATAATAAATAATAATAGTAATTAATAATAATAATAATAATTAATAATAATAGTAATAATAATAGTAATAATAATAGTAACAATATATATATAATTAATAATAATAATAATTAATAATAATAGTAATAATAATAGTAATAATAATAGTAACAATATATATATATAATTAATAATAATAATAATTAATACTACTAATAATAATAATTAATAATAATAGTAATAATAGTAATAATAATAGTAACAATATATAATATATATATATATAATTAATAATAATAATAATAATGATAATAATAATAATAATAATATATATATATATATAAAATCCATAATCATCTCTGCATCACAATCATCCCATGATCCCATCATTTCCCCAGGAAGAAACCGCCTTGCACCTCGCCGCGATGAACGGCGACCTGGCGATGTGCGCCTTGCTTCTGGCGCGTGGGGCCAATGTAACTTGGTTATGGTTGATGGGGGATATACACATATTATCTATAATAATGACATAGTACAAGGTGCAATCTCCCAGTTCGAAGTTGGTTTTAAACTATATATCTATACCCTCCAATCAAAAGAGGCAATGGGACATCCCCAAAAGTAAGTGGAGCTTTACAGCTGGGTAAATCATCTTTGGTGTTTTTCTTTGCAGCAAACCATGTTCTTAAAGAACGCGAGTTTTTCCTAAATCTGGTGAGACCTGAGTAGATTTTGAGCCAGTGAATTGTTGAGTCATATGCGCTGTTTTGTTGCTTTTCCACTCGAGGATGTTGGGAACAACTGGAGATACTTGGATGATTACCCTCTGGTACTCCAACATCGCTGGCAAATGCCTTTTGATTGCGGGAAACACACCCCTTGACTTTGCATATTCAGGGATTTTCGCCAGGTTAGATCAATGCAATCGTGGCTTTTGGTTGGAAAGAAACATGAGATTTTTTTCCATGTGTAGTTGCGATCTGATTTCTTGGACCCATATCCATTTTATTGTTGGTCATAGCCTTATTCACTGCTAGCTTCATTTTGCTTTGCTTAAGCAAATGAACTATGAAAAAACTTGTGAAATGTAGATCACCGACTTCTTTGGAAAAAGTAATCACACTTGCAGAATTTCTGGAACCTCGTAGGACCAAAACTCATACAGCAACCATCTATCAATCTGATGGCCCAATAAAAATAAACCAGATTTGGGATTGATCATGACTTATTTTGTTCAAAGTCCAAAATAGGTCAGGCAAGTTCTTTAGGTAAATCACTCACAATTTTTCTGTTGGTGAACTCTCCATCTTTTTGGGTTCTTTTCGTGGTTATTCATCATGTTTAATCCTCATTTTTGGCGAAAATTCTCCAGAGAAACGGTGCCGTTGGTGGCGCTTCAAGGTCAATGCCATTTGCAAGCGCACGGAGCATCACGCCAACCCCGTGGAGTCCCCCACAGACGACCCGCGCAGCGAGGGCTTTGTGTCCTCGGTGATCTGCAAGGAGGTGGAGGAAACGGCGTTGCATGTGGTGCCTTTGGTTAGATTGTTGGCATCAAGGGGTTTCTTAAGTCATGGAGGATCCCCAAGTCACCATGAGTTTCAATACTAAGTCATGGTCATCCATGACTTAATGGGGGCACCCACACTTTATGATACCTCAATCTGGGAGAATTTCTGTGAAACTTCAATGGGTGCAACAATGGATGGGTCGTTGAGTAAAGACAATCTTTTGCCCTCACTTTCTGCAGGGTCTCCAAGATTTGCCATGAACTGGTGAAACATCCAATGCAATTCCTGGCAACATCCAAGAAGTGCCAAATCCAGAGGTATATGGAGGTTTCCTAAAATAGGGCTACCCCTAATCATCCATTTTAATAGGATTTTCCCTTATAAACGGGTACCCCCAATTTAGGAACCCCCCATATGATCATATGGGTATGTGTCAATACCCATTATGGCACATTTTGAGGGAGATGAACATTCATTTACAAGCCATTTCGATGTTGACAAGGGGTGCAGGGTATTGACCCACATCTACTCGTAGATAATCTAGAATGAATTCCGAATCTTGGGTCGGTCAATTCCCATTGCAGGTTGGTGACATTCTGATGTTTCTGGCATTCAGAGCTTTTCACATTGAGAGATTTAGCCCGCAATGCTCTGCGGTGTTTCTGTGTTTCTTGAAGTTTCTTTCTTGAAAAATCCCCAACTGAATTGTTCAATTCACTCCACGTTTTTTTTTGCACATAGATGTTTACTGAATACTGTTCAAGTCCCCATTTTTGGTGACATCACGGTGACATGGGTGAATCCTCTCCCGTTTTTGAACGGATTCAATAGTGATGGATGTTTTGCATGGTTGAGTCCCCAGTTTCGCTGGTAATAATTATACATGTATATGTAATTATATGTATACATACGCATAGTATCCGCACACACACACAACATATTCTACATAGTTTGTTGCTAAAATTCCCAGATTTTTTGCATGGTCCCATCCCCATTCTCCAGATCTATATTGCCATCCCTATCCATATCTATATCTAGTATCCAATATCTATTTCTAATATCTAATATACATACATATATGTATATATATATTATATTATCCAACATCTCTATCTATATCCATGTTCATATCTTTATCTACATCCATACTTGCATCGATATCTATATCTAATATCTAATATCTAATATCAATATCAATAGCCAATATGTATATACCTAAATAATATATATATATATATCCATATCTATATATTTGCATCTATGTCTACTGTATATCTATATGTATATCTAATAGATGAATATACACATATATACATTCATATCCATATCCACACCTGTATCTAAATCCATATTCATATCTATATCTATATCTAAATCAATATCTATTTAAATATCCATATCCATACCCATATCTTGTCAATATGTGTATATATATATATTTATATATATCTATATCTATATTTCCATATCCATATCTCTTTCCATTTCCATATTCATATCCATATCCAGACCTACCAGGTACATCAAAAAGCGGCGCCGGCGCCGCAAATTGCATGTAGGACAGCAGTTTCTTGGAATAACAGGCCGGTTTCGTCCGGACTGCCTGCAAGAAAAACGCCATCCTAAGACCCGACATCCCTTGCCCGCGCCTACTATGACAATCTCATGGAAGCCAGATGTCCTTGCAAGAAGATCTTGCAAAGTTCCTTGTCCGGAGATCTCGTTTCTAGCATAGCTTTTTTTTTTTTGGCAGAGGTCTTGTGAGGAAAGATTGACGATAGTTTGGTAGATGCTTGAAAGAGCTATGATTTCAGAAAGATCCCGCACCCCGAACCAGCATGGCATATTGTTTGCTCGCTGGCAGGCATCTTTGTTTGGTCGCTCGTGCTTAATTAATTAATCAAGACCTGTATTGGTGTAAAGGGTTCCTAGAGATGATTTTACCACAGTCCCAGCAGCCTAATGATGCTGCAGGGAGAGCACATGTGCTCGCTGGCAGGCGTGTGCCAACCCCCGATCTGGACAGACAGTCAGACAGACAGACAGACAGACATGCATGCATACATACATGCATTCATACATTCATGCACGCATGCATGCAATTTCATCTACGTTTGGAATATAAATTGCCTTGGCGCTGGCAGGGGGAATATCTTTATTGTCTGAAAGCGCCAACGGGCGGCCAATAAGGGCTCGGTGGTGCAAGGAACGGGTATAACAAGAGATAATATGCGTAATTGTAAACGAATATATCGATTTGTATTTAAGTACATGCACGTATACGTGGAGAGACACACCGCGAGAGAATGGTTTCTTCTTTGCATGTAATCGGAAATACTTCTCACGATCCCGCGAGAGCACTCGATGATGGTTAGTTAGATGATTCAGGTTAGATTCTCTCAAGGACAGTTTTCGTGTCAATATGTTGTGTGCAGGAACTTCTTGATTTTTTTGAGGCTGAAGTCAATCAATGAGCAGAGCGTGAATTTCCAAAGGCGCGTGCCGGATGAAACCGGGGTATGTGCCTTGATCGATTACGTAGCAACAGCTCAAGTCAGTGAACGTCGTGTAGACGTGTCTATGGAGGAGATTTAGAAATGTTTTACACATTCCTGTGGTTTGGGCCTCAAAAACAGGCATGTTTTTTAAATTGCTTGCTTTGACCTGAGCAAGATTTGTTTGCAAGACACACACACACACAGCCATGTGAAATTCGTATGGAACGCATCAAACTATTCGGCGCTGTCAACATGCTTGCTGCTGGACCTTCGTGGCCTCACCCCTGTATTCGACCCTGTGCAACTGGAAGTTGCCGAAAAAGAAATGGCACATGTTGGTGCCATAGGCTTTCTCAGGATTCCGTTCAGAGTGCGATGCGCGCAGTTATGTTTATACATACAACGGGCAGGTAGAATTATTCTTCTTGTTTAAGCATGCGGAACAAGTTCCTGGAAGAGGCAGACTTCCTCGCACCTTCTGGCAGGCAGCATCCCCGCTCTGACTTGTTGAGTGTTGCTGCTTGACTAGCGATGGCCGGATTCTGCTTGGACAATCCTCGGTTGTAGAAGGGATGTTAGGCCGTTGGAGCCGCAAAACCTATCGTATTATATAGATTGTTTGTTTACCAAACACGGCTTAGATTTGCAGGCCGCCGGCGAAGAGCTGAACAGCTACTTCGCCTTCGAGTGGTGCTGGCTGCAGATGGGGTGTGACGGAGAACCTCCGCCTGTCCTGTGAGGCGGGAAAGGGGGACGGTTTTCTTTATCCCGGTGGCAAAGCAATGGCTGCTGTCCGGTGAAACGATGCAATATTGAACAGCACCAGCCAGTGGATTGAAACAGAGACGCCCAAAGAAGAAAAGGAAGAAGAAGAAGAAGAAGAAGAAGAAGGGAGAAGAAGACGAAGAAAAAAGGCGACGAAGAGGAGGAGGAAGAAGAGGAAGAAGAAGATGAAGCAGCAGAAGAAGAAGACGAAGAGGAGGAGGAGGAAGAAGCGGAAGAATAAGAAGAAGAAGAAGAAGATAAAGAAGAAGAAGACGAAGAAGAAGAAGAAGAAGAAAAAGAATAAGGAGAAGAATTGGTTGAAGAAGTGATTGAAGAAGTGGACTAGGTGAGGTCCTCTCTTTGGTCAAGTTCTGATGGGGCCCGGCCAGTCCTCCGGGAATTGATTCCGAAACGCGGCAGCATATCCAAGGGGAGAAGAAAGACCAAGAAAGAAAGAGATAGGGACACAAGACACAGAAACGAAAAAAAAAGGCAAGCAGCTGACCAGCCGCTGGTTGCCATGTGACACGAAGTGGCCCTCGGCAAGACGGGCGGGAGGTATCTATATCTATGTGTGTGTATATATATATACCTGTCTGTCTGTCTGCCTGCCTGCCTGTCTGTCTATCTATCTACCTATCTATCTACTCTATCTGTCTATCTATCTATTTACATATTTCTGAAATTAGCATCAATTTCTCAAATTTAAACCAATATCTATGTTTATATCCATATCTATTTCCATCCCCATACCTACCCTCATATGCAAATCTATTTCTACATCCATATCTGGATCCATATCTCACTCTCATACCAATATCAAAAATAAGTATCACTATCAATATCTATATCTATATCTAATACCTACATATCTGCATCTACATCCACTTTCACATCTTTATCTCACACCTAAATCTCCATCTATAGCCACATCCGTATAGCTATAACCATATCCATATCGAATATCCATATTTATATCTAAATTCGATATCTACATCCATATCCCTACCTACCCCAAATCCATACTCATATGTAAACCTAAACCCGCATCCGTATCCAACATCTAATATCTACATAGATCCGCATCCATATCTACATCTCACCAATGTTCATTTCTACATCCATTTCTGTATCGAAATCCACACCTAGATCCGTTTCCATGTCCCCATTTATATCGATATCGACTTCCATATTCAAACCAATATCCAAACTCATGTCCATATCTAATATCTGAACCCATAACCATACCCATACCTATATCCATACTTTTGCCATATCCATATCTGTCGCTAATGTTGAATATTTGTACTGATATTTGTTTTCATATCTAAATCTTTTATCTATTTCAATATCCAAATCTAATATCATTGTCGAAAATCGACATCCAATATCCATTACCAAACCTATATCCACATTAGTATCTATATCTATATCCATGTCTATATCCGTATCTACATCCATGTCTAAATCCATATCAATGCCTACATCCATTTCAATATCTCACAATATCCAGTATCTACATCGATATCCAATATCTAATATCTAAATCTCATCAGTATTTATTTCCAAACCCATATACCATTTTTATATCTATATATGTATATCTTTCATAGACACACACACAGATATATATATATATATGCGTATACATGCACATATATATATATATATATTCATTTATTCATTTATTTATTTATTCATTTCTTTATTTTTTCGATAACCATTACTATCCCAGTTTTCCACTTCTGGGATCCAAGGCCCTGCGTTCGAAACACTCGGAGCTGGTGACGCTGCTCCGCTGCTCCGGCGCCGATGCGATGCCGCTGCGCAGGGATGGGGAAAGCACCAGCTGCGTGGAGACACCCGGCGAAGGATGTGGGGATTCAACTTATTTGGGGTGTGGTGAACCATGGTTATTTAGCGGAAGTTAAAGCAGCAACACTGGTGAATAATGGTGAATTAACGGCCTTTTCATGGAGTTTCAAGTACATCTGGGGTTTAATGGGACAAAAATGGGTTACCGTAAGGTAAACGAACATAGATCTGGAAAATCCATGGTTTCCCAAGGAAACACATCAAGAACAATGGTGGGTTTTCCACATCTACAGTATATTAGTTTAACCTAAGGTAACCATGAACATTGTGTTTTATGGGAATTAAAAATGTCAAATGGTGCAAACGGGTGATTTAACCATAAAATGGGTTTAATTAAAATATCACTTGGCTATAGTATTGGATATGGAAACAAATTTGCCTTGATGAATATAATGGTTTTAGGATGTGACGCAATTGAGATGTAATGAAATGTGTAATCAACATTATATCTCGTTCTCCCAAAACATTACACGATTTTCCTACGAACCCAAATCAAAACACAAACGGGTTCCAAGACGGGATATCATTGGGATATCATATGGGATATGCTGAGGTATGCAATCATCAATATGATGTATGGGCCTGCTTGAAAAATTGGGGTATTTTCCGCAAATGGTAACTTTATCAAGGAATATCGTGATTAACCAGTGGATTTAGGGGTACCCCAGTTTCAGACAAACCCAAGCAACACGACACAAGGGGGTTCCAAGCTATTCCCAGGAGGGAACGTGGCAGTTTAACATAATGTAAGCAGCAGCAACACATGCGAAGATGAGAGTTTAACCAGCAAACAGATTAATTTGACGTCAGTATGCCATATCAACATGGGAGTTTAACCTGCAAACATGGGGGTCTGACCAGCAAAATTTGTTTTCGATCAGCCAAAATGGAGGTTCAATCAAAAGATATGGCGATACGAGATTTATTCGATAATGATTCTGATTACTTGAATTCTGAACTTCATGATTATGGTAAATTAGGTGGTTGGGTGGAGAACTGTTTTATGAATTCTGCAAGTGGGCTGGTTGGGCTGGTTCAAGCGATGAACAACTATGGTTAGTTGGTGTGCTTTCTGTTCGTGCAAAACCCGCATTCTTGAGCCCTGAAATCTGGGGGCTCGATCGCCCCATGCATCGGGGTTACTCATTTGAGGGCTTTCTGTGCATTACATTGGTTAAGGGCAATGCAAAGTAGGGAGTAAGCGGAGAGATTTCGTGGAAGCATAGCAAAGTGACAAACTGTCCGCCGCAAGCTGACGCGAGATGTGAAGCCGCCTTGCATGGCTTTCAAGACACTTGCATGACTCGAGGAATCGGCACTTTTGCAGTTGGAGTGCCGTTGAATCCAACCATTCCAGTGCGAATAGATCCTGCGGCAAGTGATATGTCTGTGTTGGAGTTGGCTCCGAGGGTTCGTTGGTATATATCTACCTACCTATCTACCTATCTACCTATCTACCTATCTACCTATCTACCTATCTACCTAACTACCTATCTACCTATCTACCTAACTACCTATCTACCTAACTACCTATCTACCTATCTACCTAACTACCTATCTACCTAACTACCTATCTACCTATCTATCTGTGTATCCATCTATCCATCTATCCATCTATCTACCTATCTATCTATCTATCTATCTATCCATCCATCTATCTATCTATCTATCTATCTATCCATCTATCTATCTATCTATCTATCTATCTATCTATCTATCTATCTATCTATCTATCTATCTATCTATCTATCTATCTCTTATCTTGCTAGTTAGCTACCTATTGATCGATCGGTCTATCGATGGATAGATCTGTCCGTCTGTTCGCTAGTCTGTCCATCTACCTATCTATTTATGTATATTATCCATCCATCCACTTATCCATCCATCTATCTATACACATATTCATAATATGGATACCCCAACTTGTTTGCTGAAATCCAGATCTTTTTTGGTCAGATCCCCGCTGCAGTTGGAGTTCATCCGGCATATTTCCTTTTGGTCCCTAAACATCCGTTCGGACGGTCTTGCTGGTGATTTCATCCTTTCCCCATGAGCCCAACATTAAAAACACCAATTTGCCAATTTGTTTCAAAGGTCAATCTCAAAAGATGTCCAAATGGTAAGCATGAGATATAGTTTATCGACATTTATAGGTTTGCCACAGTCCATGACTGGGATTGCAGAAACAAAATAACCGCTGTTTTTCCATAGGTTTTTTCTTTTGTTCACAAAATGGATTGCAGATTTCTTGCTTGTGTGCAATCCGTTTGCCCAATGAATGATCCAAGTCATGAACGACCATGACTTCGTATTGAAACCTATGGTGACGACTGGGGATCCCCATGACTCAGCAGAACCCCCCGTATGTTTTCCCAGCAGAATCCATCCTTTGGATCAGGCTCTGTGGAGATGATGAGACTTTGATCCAAGCCCTACAGGAGGGGTACCCCAAGTCATCCAAATCATGGAAAACTAAACCTATGGTGACGATTTGGGGGATCCATATAGCACCTACTTTATTTTGAGAAAACTCCATATGAAATTTTTAGTAGGAACGTACCTACTACTCCATGAAAACACCGGAAATTCTCATGAAATTGCCAGAAATATGAGATGTAAGAACATCCCACTCAAATGAGCTGTTTTTTCGAGCGGGGTTTAAGGGTCCCCGAAATGCCCAAGTCTACCATTGAGAATCATCCCTACAGTAGCAACTTAGGTACAGATTTTGAGCATCTTGAGCCATTCCCAAAACACATAGGTGATTTCTAACGGAGTCATTGGTGCACCTCACCAGAACTCGCGCCACAAAAATCAAGCACACATAACGCATGGGGATCATGGGGATCATGGGGATCATGGGGATCATGGGGCAATTTGGCAATTATTTCCAAGATTTTCCAAACATGGTCTTATGATTCAGACATTTCCATGACATTTCCATGACATTTCCTTCGTTTATCTCTCAGTTTCGCTGGAAAATTCCCGCCCTGATGGTGAAATCGCCCCGTTGTGCCTGCTTCCCAGGCGGAGTGGAGCCCGGAGAAGCACCACCTCTTCCCGGCCGAGGCAATGGATTCAATGGATATCAATGGATCATGTCATGGAGTTATGGAGCTGTGGGGATTTTTCATATGATTTCATATACCCTCTGGTTATTTAACATAGCCATGGAAGCCATGGCCCATAGAAATAGATGGTTTACCTATTAATAGCATGGTGATTTTCCATGGCTATGTTAGTCATAACCAGAGGGTATGATTTCATATATGACATATATGGGTTTGTCTGAAAATGTTGTGTACCCCAAAAAACCCAATGGTTTTGATGATGGTTTTGCTGATCATTATCCCTACTTTTTATGGATTTTTTTTTTGGGGTATACCCCATTTTCAGACATACCCATATGATTTAATAATCAAATTCCTTCCAAATCATCTTCAAATGCACATTTTGAGAGTTCCAGAAAGAAGATCTCAACAGGTTTGTTGACGAAATCATCAGTGGGGTCTGTCAGATAATCCAATTCCCTTGATATTACATACTCCCCATATGGACCCCCAAGTCATGAAGAGACCCAGCACCAAATCTGTGTTTCGTTTGGAGGATACTTAATTTTAGGGGATGGGATTAGTTATTGGGATCTTTTCATCATCGCGGGATCATGCTTTGTCTCTAAGACTCTAAACAATCATTTGAATAATTGGTACAAGGGGGAGAGCTTTTGCATGGTTGACATCTTGCAGGCATATCAAGATATGAACCATTTGATTTCACTATCATTCAACTACTGGGAGTATTGAGCAATTCAAGTTGTGTTGGGAGTTTCCCTTCAACTTGAGCTGGGTCGAAACCCTGTGAAGAAGTGCCAAAAGAGGCTTCAATGAGTACATCATATCTTGACCCACGCAGGTCCGGGAGAGTGTAAAAACCGCGCTGCTGATTGCCCAAAGGCAGTCGCTAGGCAAAAATCGCAGCTGGTGAATGGCCCATTGATGTGGGATGTATATGGTAGTTTATTGGCACCATTGATTTGGGGTTTAGTAACATTTATTAATTTGTTACAGTATTTAAATTAATACCATTCGCTTAGCGGCTTAGCACCATTTATTTGGGTTTACTGGCGATAGCCGTGCCTCAGACCCCAACCACAGGAGCAGCTATCTCACCTTTGGCAGCACGGTCCTGGGGATAGCTGGGACTCAGTCATATTCTGTGGTGAACATAGCCATAGTTTACCAAGTTGTACATTGCATAACCCCCGATACATGGCTTATCCACCACTCTCTGAGTGTGTCTCATGACTTGCACGGTGCGAAGCTTGGTCACATGTAAATTCTGGCCTTTTCGTCAACGAAAAGTCTCCATAAAAAGCCTCAGATTTGCTTGATTGTACTCTAGGAAACTGTCTGGACATCTGCTAAAGATTGCTAAAGTGTCCCTTTGGAATGTGCTACATTTCGTCGAACCGGCTCCAAGTTTTTCAAATGTGTGGTTCTCAAAATCGTACTCCAAACCCATGGCTTTACCCATTGAACCATGACCAATCTTGGATGATTTTGTGGGGGTCCCTCATGTTAAGAATTCCGGCAAGCTATCACCCCGTGTTTTTGGGGCCACCGAGGAAATGGCCGGTCCCCGAAACGGTCCTCTTCAAAGTCTGCGCCATGTTCGCGGCTCCGGAAGGGTCCGGATGACCAGCTCAAGGTATGCCCAAGAAGCTGCATGTACAGTTTGCAGCTGGGGCCAGGTGGCTGAAGCTAAAAAGTTAGAGCTCTTTGGAGTCACGGATTGCAGTGGGACCAGAAATGGGGGTACTGAGCTTGGTCACGGATGTTGCCTGTGGCATCCACTGAAATGAAACGACACTCTCGGAAGGGGGGACTGGCACCATGCTTACTATACACTTAGCAATAGATTGGCCACCTAGACTTGGAGCAGTGAAGGGCTGCCAGTGATTGGAGGTCTTTGATCATTCTTAGCATCTGGAGATTTGGTGGGTCAATGCTCTCGATCCAAATCGTCCCAGAAGATCCAGTGGCAGCTTGGAACCATGACCAATGGCCGACTGTCCTGCTCCTTTGGCAATATGGATCAATATTGAATACCCGACGAAGGTGTACATGTCTCATATTTCGAAGATCTTTTTAGCTCCGAATGTTATTCCTGGATTCATGACCCCTGGCGAATTAATCCAAAAAAAACATAATTTTGCACTAATTGAATAGGCCCCCAATAAGATACCCCCCCACACAAAGAGCACAGGGTTTGCCAATCAGGGGTTGGCACTATCCATGTCCTGAAGCCAAACTCCTGCCACAGTGAGCGTTGGCTCAAACGAAAAAGCTGAGCGCGGCAGTCATGCCGGCGGTTGATGAGGAGCGTCCTCACTTGGTGGCCTCGGCGGCAGAAACAGATACGATGTGTTTGGGTTGAAGAAACAGCTATGGGATGCTATGGGATGCTATGGGATGCTATGGGATGCTATGGGGTAGTATGGGGGTGTCAAATGAGTCATTTTTTATTCGGGGTGTAAGATGAAGTCAAGATCATTCGCTAGGCCACGGTGACGTCATTTTGGACAGCGGCCTGGTGGGGTTTCATAGGCAGCGACAAGGTGAATGGCTGGCATCATCCGATATGACCATAATCTGAGGATCTACTGTCAACCAAGGAATCAGAACATGATAGAAGCGCAACAGGCATAGAACCTTTGCGAATAGGGAGCGGACCAAAGAACTATTGAACATACGTGCCAAATTTGTGGGTAGATGCGCAACCACATGCAATCGTAGAGATATAACCATGTGATTGGCTAATCAGTTTTGAACATAGTCCTATTCTCAGTTACTCAAATTCCCAATAATGCAGGTTAATAGTTGTTCTGGTGCTGTTTTGGTCTTTTGCTAGTTTCGCATCCTTAAATTTCACATATATCCGTTTCAAAGTTCCCCAAACGTGATATTGGATAAGTGAACAAGTTGGAGAATCAGTGACTTAGTTGGATAATAACTTACCTGGTTGGTGGTTTGGAACATTTTTTATTTTTCCGAGGGGTTGAAACCACCAACCAGTTGCGGTATCACATCGCATCCAGTGGCGCCGACAGGTGGACTGCCAAGATGGCAGCCCCAGCAGTCAGGCGGCACCGCGGAGCGCGCGCTGCGGTCGGCCCTGCGTGGTGGTGCCGTTGATGCTGTGCGCGGCCGCCCTGGGGTCCTTGGTGACCCTGCGTGGCTTGGCGGAACTGGAAGAGTGTTAGAAGATGTTGGAAGGGTTTCTATTTGTAGACATCTATTATATAATTATAATGTATTTGATTCAGTTTGATTCGATTTGTTGATTTGGAGAATTCAACAAGTAGGTAGACATGGAAAAATCGAACTGGGTTCCATCAGTTCGGGTGGAATTTTCAGCTCAAAGGTTAACTGGATCCCTTTTCACCTGGCGATCCCCCAGGCAGTCCAAAAGATCGCTATGGATACCCTAAAGCCCCGCTCCACACATTTCCCCAAGATACTAGCAGATGGTTATGGTTTCAACTCATCCCAACTGCATCAGCACTAAGCCAACCTGCTTTCAGGTTTGCAAAAGGCTGGAGCAGTGCTGACCACAGTGCCCATGCGACTTGGAAAGACGTCGGAAGCTGTTAACCAACAATTCATCATTCACAACTATTGCTTAGCTATCTTCGCTGGCAAAGTGACCATTTCAGGTTACAAAGTGACCATTTCAGCAGGCTGTGATCCTAAACATCAAAACACATCAAAAAATGCCACGATCTCCGTCATCTCCGTCATCTCCGTCATCGCCAAGGAGTCCCTACCACGATCGCTTGCAGTCATCGGTTCGCTTCTTCCCCTCCAGGGCGAGCGAGGTTCTGGGAGAGCTGAGCGTGAAGGAAGTGCAGGACCTTTTTGGATACCGGAGGATACCGGAGGTCTGGTGGTGGTCATCCTTTCCGATTTTGTACTTGGTCAACTATGTCAACTAGTGTCTTTGGGATAGTTTTTTGTTGAAGATTCTGTTTTTGTTGGGTAAGTGTTGTCTCTTGATTGCAAGAATTCTCGCAGAGGGTTTGGTGAAATCATATTTTTTTCGGGACCCGCAGTGATGGCACCCGGATTCCCACAAGCGCTTTCCAGATACTTGCAACACAAAAGATGGGTCCTGGGAAATGTCACCAACTTCATCCCTGGATTCCTAGGCAAAGCCTTGGTGCATGGCAGGTACAAATCGTTTACTTTACAGTATTTTCATTTGGATGGATTGAGATGGATTAAGATCAATCAGATCCTGCACACTATTATCTATTCTTTGTGCATGTCATGTAAGGTAAATCCCAATTTTGTGTTTTTTTCTCGCAGGTTTCTTGCAATACATCTCGAGACATATATCATATTCGCAAGATCTTTAAGGCATTGCAAGGCGCCCAGGGTCTGCCCAAAAGGCTGGTGGAAGTATTTCTTGTAGGCTTTTCAGCTTTTCTATAGTTTTAAATCCAACATTGTTGCTGGCGAAGCCCCTCATTCTGGGGGATTACCATATGTTACCATACTCATGGCTAAGTTTACAGGGATCACTCACCCTCCAAATCATTGGGCCGCAAGAGAAATCTTCGCTCTCCAAATGGGGCGCGACATTCTCATCCAAAATGGATGGTTCCAGATCCTAAAGACGACCAAAATGGTCCAAATCGCCAAATCAACAGAGACCCAAAACTGAAATCACCAAACCATGGGGTACCATTCTTATAGCACCACACTATCCCAGCCTCATGACTTCACCATCAACGCATACCAAAGTGTTGAAACCCAAATCTTCCAAAAGGGATGGTTCCCAAACCCCTTCAAATTGAATCGTTGTATCTCCAAATCAACCTTAATTTTTTCGTGGCTTGGATACATTTCCATTCATATCATTCATGCCATGTTTTCCTGGTCATCCTTTACCAATCCCTTCAGGAGATTTCTGCTTGGTTCATGCTGCAGACGGGTGCCGCACCCTGCCGCGCGTTTGAAAACGTCAGCACCTGGCTGGCTGGACCCTCGGCGGTGGAGTTGTTGAGGCCTCCCAAGGTGCAGCAAAACGTGGTGAGGGCCTCGCTTCGGAACGCGTCTTGAGGGATCGCTTCGGAACGCGCTCTCATGCATCGCTTTCGAACGCGCCTCCTCACCATCATCATCATCATCATCATCATAATCATAATCATCACCATCCCCATCATCATCATCATCATCATCATCATCATCATCATCACCATCACCATTCTTAGCGTCACCATCATCATCATCAGCATCATCTTCAGATCATCCTGATCATGATCATCATCACCCTCCTCATCATTATCATCATGCTTCTTCCTTGCTGTCATCAGCTTCATCATCAGCACCACCATCATTATCATCATCAGCAGCTTCCATACCACCATCATCAGCATTATCATCATGTGTGTTCTTCTAATTCTTTTTCTTTGCTGTTTTCCTCATTCTCATCCTCATCCTCATCATCATCATCATCCTCATCATCATCATCATCATCATCATCATCATCACCATCATCATTATCATCCTCATCATCAGGTTCATCATCACCATCATCATCATCATCATTGTCGTCCTCATCATCATTATCATCATCATCATCATTCATCATTCATCATCGTCATTTACACTACATATATCATTACCATCATCATCATTTCAGGGTGGGTCATTATGATACCAATGAATGTAATGGTTCAAGGGGGGCTGGTTGATTTGATACCAATGAATGTAATGGTTCAAGGGGGGCTGGTTGATTTGATACCAATGAATGTAATGGTTCAAGGGGGGCTGGTTGATTTGATAGCAATGAATGTAATGGTTCAAGGGGGGCTGGTTGATTTGATACCAATGTAATACTGGTTGATTTGATAGCAATGAATGTAATGGTTCAAGGGGGGCTGGTTGATTTGATAGCAATGAATGTAATGGTTCAAGGGGGGCTGGTTGATTTGATAGCAATGAATGTCATGGTTCAAGGGGGGCTGGTTGATTTGATACCAATGAATGTAATGGTTCAAGGGGGGCTGGTTGATTTGATAGCAATGAATGTAATGGTTCAAGGGGGGCTGGTTGATTTGATACCAATGAACGTAATGGTTCAAGGGGGGCTAGTTGATTTGATAGCAATGAATGTCATGGTTCAAGGGTGGCTGGTTGATTTGATACCAATGAATGTAATGGTTCAAGGGGGGCTGGTTGATTTGATACCAATGAATGTAATGGTTCAAGGGGGTCTGGTTGATTTGATAGCAATGAATGTAATGGTTCAAGGGGGGCTGGTTGATTTGATAGCAATGAATGTCATGGTTCAAGGGGGGCTGGTTGATTTGATAGCAATGAATGTAATGGTTCAAGGGGGGCTGGTTGATTTGATAGCAATGAATGTAATGGTTCAAGGGGGGCTGGTTGATTTGATACCAATGAATGTAATGGTTCAAGGGGGGCTGGTTGATTTAATAGCAATGAATGTAATGGTTCAAGGGGGGCTGGTTGATTTGATAGCAATGAATGTAATGGTTCAAGGGGGGCTGGTTGATTTGATACCAATGAATGTAATGGTTCAAGGGGGGCTGGATGATTTGATAGCAATGAATGTCATGGTTCCAGGGGGGCTGGTTGATATGATACCAATGAATGTAATGGTTCAAGGGGGGCTGGTTGATTTGATACCAATGAATGTAATGGTTCAAGGGGGGGCTGGTTGATTTGATACCAATGAATGTAATGGTTCAAGGGGGGCTGGTTGATTTGATACCAATGAATGTCATGGTTCAAGGGGGGCTGGTTGATTTGATACCAACAAGTACAACAAGGCTTTTCTTTCATATATTCACCTTCATTTTCTGTGGCAGGCGTGGGACCTTTTGGCATCGACCTTCTTTGCGTGGCAGGTGTGGCACTTTTGTACATGGACTGTCCTTTTACGTGGCAGGCGTGGGACTTTATGACATGGTTGAAACGAGTAAAATTCTCATACGAGGCTTTTTTTGTGTTGGTCTCGCTTTGGAACGCGTTTTTCTTCCAAAGTCTCGCACCTGTCAGTAAATCTGATGTGTGTGTGTATGGCTGTGTTCTGAAGTGATGTTTGATTTTGTGTTCTGAAGTGATGCAAAATGGCTGTGTTCTAAAGTGATGCCTGAGAGTGTGTTCCAAAGTGATCCTGTTACCGCAAAACGTGGCGGAATGGGAAAATCAACCAGTTCTAGACAGTTTTCTGGGGAAACGGTGGGTTTTCTGTATCTATGTTCATTTTTTTGAATTGAATAAGCATGTTCACTATGTTCATTTAATTATTGACTAAGCATGAACAATGTGAACAATGTGGGTTTTTTTCGCCATGAAAGGCATGGGTTTACTTACAAGCAAGTTACCATATCAAGAAACGGATGACGATCAACCAATGGATTTAGGGGTACCCGATTGACAAGCACAAAGGGGTAAAGCTTGGATTAGCAGGAATGGGCTTCGGCTTAAGCATCAAACAGGGAAATTGTGTAGCTTCGAAAAAAGTTCAGTCAATTGTGGAAAACTTTCTATAGAAAAATGCATCGTTTCACCAGCAAAACCATGGATTTTTAAGAGCTTTTGACCAGGGATGTCTTTTTTTCCAGTCCGGAGGCAGAGACTCTGGCCTACTTGGACGGCAAGGGTGTGAAGCCTCCGCGTTTCGCGCGGGTGACCATGGTCACCAATAGCTCGGTGCTGGAGTTCAAGGCGGGATTTACTCATGGGGTGGCGCGGAAAATCGGGGATATATAATATATACATATATATATATAATTATATATACATTATATACTCCCAAAAAAAGTATGGTTCATCCGGTCCATCTTAAGCATAGATAAACATGATCAAACATGATCCAACATGTCTCAACATTCTTTTTTTTGGCAATCGCAGATGATCACAGATCATCACGGATGATCCCCCCAAAATGTCACACGCCATCAAACACAATCAAATATACTAACTCCCAAAACCAAAAAGATAAAACATCTTTTCCACAATGGGAAACAATGGATGATTTGCTCTCCATAATTACCGAGTTTTCATCTTTTCTATCCTTTTGGGGTTTGCGGTACTATTATCAAAACAAAAAAGTGCCACTGTCAAGTCACGTCGGATTGTCTGCTATCACCAATCCTTCATCCATTGATTTGGGAAATTAAAAAAAAATGGTCGGACGACCATCTCTGTCATTCTGCTAAAATGGTTGTTTTCCCAGACCTGGATGAAGCTTTTTTAAAATTTTTGCATGAAAGGCCTGGTTTTTATTCATGTTTTCATTCCATTTCTTTCCTGACATCATTGACATATTTCCCAAAGAAACATTTCGAACTGGAGTACAGTAAGGGAACATCTACAGCCGAACAGCCCAATATTTTTGAGGGGCCATTTTCGGCCAAGGTTTCCTGTGGATTTTCCCAGCCCGGTGGGTAGCCCCTGGCAGCCCCTGGCAGGTGGGTCCCGTGGAGGATCTGAGCAAGGCCAAGATCAGCGAGTTGGTGCCCAAGGGAGCGATTCCTTACTCCAAACGACCTGGCTTTGAGGAACTGGGGAAACCAACTGAGCTCATTTGTATATATATATATAATATATATACACTATATATGATATATGTATGTATATATATATATGTATATGTATATATATATATAAATATATGTATATATATATAATATATACACTATATATGTATATATACACTATATATGTACACATATACTTATATCTACTAATTTATCTGTATACATATGCATAGTTATTATTTCTTTTCTGGCCATGGAGAGCCAGGAGACCTGGTTCGTCAAGCCCATCTACGATGCGGTGGTGACAGAGCTTGGGGCCTCTCTGTGGCTTGGCAGAGTCTGTAAGATTGGGCATGGTTGGATCTTGATAGTTTTTGGGGTTTTGAACAAGCTTGTGATGCACATGCATATATGTATATATATACACATACATACACATATTTTATGAATCTATATCTATATAATTAAGCAATCTTTCTCACCAACTGGCAAGTCCCTCTAAGAAGGGACTTGGTTCCTTTTTGCAGGCTTTTGTCCACCTTAATTGGTGTTTCGCCATAGTTTTTTAGCAGTTGTTTGTTTTCAAACAGGGGATTACCACCTATGCTACTGAAAGTTGTGGGTTTTACAAGGGATCAGAAAATGACCAGGTGTTAGCAATTCTGATATTAATTCAATAATGAAGACAAACATACTCATGACATATTGACAAAGACCATGGTAAATCAACTAATGATACTTATGACCAACAATAGCAAGAACAATGATCATGATACAGTAATGATCCTGACCATAGACAACACAGAATAATGACAATGCTAATCCCATCCCCCGTGTTAAACATCCCCATTGTATGGTCCCAAATATGTGGTTTCATCCCCTACATCCACCATAGTGAGACGTTTATGGAGGGAGTGCTTCAGGTTGGTGAAAGCCTTCGGCCCCATCTGGCCTCAGCTGGCAGGCAGGAACCATCTTGATCCATTTTGGATCCATTTTGGAAACATCCAGTTCTGGGTAAACCTTGGTCAGTTTTATGATTTGCAACTGACACAGTTTTTTTATTTTAACCACCCGAAAAAAAAACTGCAACAAATTCAACAAATCCCATGGTTTTTTTTGGGCATCTCCATTTGCCACGGCTTGCCCCACCAGGCTACGACCCCTCCCGCGGCACCGTATCCTTCCTGCCCCGGAACGATCCGCTGGCGCCGCGCGGCACGCGGCGCATTCGCATCAAGAGCGTGGTGGTGCCGCCGGCGCCGTCGCGGCCCGATGCGCAGTGGCTGAATCCCCTGCCGTTGGACATGGAGGTTCCATGCTTTTTGTTGAGGGGCTTGTACTAGTGGGATGATTGGGGATGATGACAAGGCATGGCATTCTATGGGGATACAAAAAAAAAACCGGTGTTTCATGGGATGGGATGTTTGATTTTTTGGAATTTCCAAAGCATTCATACATATTTGATTTCATTCCTAAAGGGATGATGATCCAAATGGACTTCTTGGGAGGTGAGTCCAAGCGAAAAAATGTTGGTGAAAGGTTGGCAGAAGATCCCATTGACTCATTTTAAACAGGTTTTTTTTGTGTTTCAGAGTGGTGAAACATGGCAGAACATCTTAGTTCATAGGGAAAGTCAGCAAGTTGATGGGTTGGGTGTCCCTATGTTTTGATATTGGACAGGCCCAGAACTTTATGACGTGTTTGGAAGTAAAAGGAACCAGGTGAAGATAAATGTATAGGACCTCCTAAACATACATTTGTGTGCGTGTGTGTATATATATAATATATATAATATATATATAATATATATATATAATAATAATAACAATGATAATAATTAATAATAATGATAATGAAAATAAAAATAATGATATTATATATATACACCCATAGAACACAACTAATTCTGCTGTATTAGATCATCCAAAGAAGGTCATGAGGTAAAGATCATCCATAGCATCCTAGAAAACATGTTTCCATAGTTCACTGGGGCCTTTGAAGATGGAAAACATGTGGACCCATAGTTCACTACGTTGCGAACGTCCCAGGTGAATATCACCGCCTGGAACGTGTCGGAGTGGAGCATCAACCACATCACCTTCTGCAACCAGGGACCCTTTGATTCGCCCAAGACTTTGTTGCAGGCCTACTCCAAGGGCCAGCTGCAGATCTGCAACGCCACCTTCTCGGCAGGCCATTGGGATACTCCACAGAGGCTTGGATGTTGATGGCAGGGGAAGTTTTTTTAGTGATGTGATTCTGCAGATTTCAGTGGAACGAAGTGAGTTCAGAGAAGCGAAGCAGCGTTCAGAGGTTTGGAGCAAGTTTGGAGTCTGCCAGAGTGTGACTATGGGGTTGTTGCCGTGCAATGCTGAACAACATGAACAACCGATCTCATTTTCCGATAATTACCAGCTCTATTGACAAGTCTAGTTATTAAGATCCTGCGGATTGCCCCACAGAGGGGTGGACACAGCGGAAGATCAGCTTCCAAAGTCATACTTTTGGTCTCACATTAGATGTAGAGTGTAGGGGTTTGATAGTTCGGAATCTTTTCTTTACAGGTGCTTTTTCGATCTGACCGCCACTGGTGGGTGTTTCATATCTCTGGGGGCACACCCACATACGAGCCTTAGTTCCTCTGCGAGCACGAAAACAGGACGTTGGGGATTCTGAGGTACCTCAATTGTGAACAACCAGCACTTCTTCAAAGTTTCTGTATCCAGAAGTGGGTATGTCTGAAAATGGGGTATATTCCCAATTATAGCCATTTCATAGGGATAATGATCAGCAAAACCATTGGGTTTTTTGGGGTACACTATTTTCAGACAAACCCAAGTAGTTCCCCCCCTCCCACGATTTTGATGAAACTGTGCGCCAAGGAGGGAATCTCCAAGGGGAACTCTGCGTGATCTCCCGCTTTGCTTGGTCAACTTTTTGGGAATCCCCAAGGGCCCAAAAGGGACGGAGACCGGATACCAGAAAATCCAGTTGAAAGCAGGCTGCCGGTCAGCTACTGATGGGGAGCTAACCTCCCAAAATGAAAGTCCCAAGCCCGCGCGGTTGAGGTAATGAGAGCCACCACAACGGCGTTTCCTGGGGTCCTTGGAGCTTTTCTGTGACCCAGAGGCCCTCCACAGGCACTTTGGTCAAATGGGTGGATTGCCGCCCCAAATTGCCAACAAATCTTGAGCTTTTGACCCTATTTTCGGCTATGGTTCAACTTGGTTTAGCCTTGCTTTGGTGGCTCATCCCATTAAAAAAAACACCACGGAATTTCAGGCGCTTGCACGATGGTCATTTGGCAAGAGATTTTCAGCTGTGGTCATTGCGTGCCCGATTCCCCGTCTAGATCCAAACAACATCAAAAACAAACAGGTTTTCCAATTTCCAATGCTTTCCACATTTTTCATCATTTTTCAACATGTTCATCTTTACCACGCTATGAATTTGAACGTGTCTCGACAACTCGACATGGCTTCCGTTCCGATCCCACCAGGCATTGCAGTGACGGACATCCGCTTCCGCGGGGAACGCATCGTTTACGAGCTGGCCCTGATGGATTCACAGGCGATCTACGGCGGCTCCTTGCGGGATCAGTTCATGTGCCTTGCAGAAATTGGCACTGTACTGCGCCGGAAAAATGGATCCACATGTGTATATGTATGTACGACTATGTACGTAACGTGTGTATTGTGTGTATATATATAATATTATATATATATATATTATATATAATATTATATATATATTATATATATAATATATATAATATATATATATATATATAATATAATATATATATATATACACACACACCTATACACGTACTATTGTGCATAAATAACTGTATGTCTTAACGGTTAAATTATGTAAATATGTTTGTGTGCACGTGCGTGTAATGCAATGCAATGCGATGAGATGGGATGCGATGCCATGCATGTGTTTTTTTGGAGGAGAAAGTTCACCATGATTTGGCATTGAAAGAGAACAATATGATGCAATATGAACATATGGCAGTGTGTCAAAACCAATAGTACCCCTGTAGTTCACATCAAAATAGCTGGTAAATGGATGTTCATCCCACTAAAAATGGTATTAATAGGTATTGGTTCATAGCCATATACTTTTTCTTTCGATGGTTCCTGCATATTCTATCGACATTGATCGTGTATATCGTATAGGAATTACAACCGGGGTATCCCCCAATCTGGCTTTTTCATCGTGCTCCCCATGAAACTGTAATTCTTTATGCACCATCTTCGAACCTGTCCCCAAGGTCAACCTGTCTGAGGTGATTTTGATGATTTCCTGGTGTGCTTGTCCAAGTCATTGGAAAACCATTGCTGAGCACATTGGTTTACATTCCAAATTCGGGAAAATCAATGATAAACCATTGGATTTTGCAGTATCCTATTTTCAGACAACCCAAAAAGGCAGCAACCCCGGACAAATTCAAACGGATGTGTTGGGGGGTTCTATCGGCATGACTGCCTGTTTGGGTAGAAGTGATCGATGGATAGATATAAGAGTGGACGGATAGACGGATGGGCGGATGGACGGACGCCAAAATAGAGAAATAGAGAGAGATAGAGAGACAATGAATTTCCTGGTTTTATAAATTCAATATCTATATAGAAACATATATAGAAACATATACACATATACAAATATACACTTATATACTTATGTATGTATATATATATATATACATTGTCCAAAAATACAGTATACATCAACCCATCAATCATCGCCAGGTACTCAGATAGCGCCTACACCATGTCCCAATGGAGCACGTCCCTGGAGCCCGGTGTGGACTGCCCCGACAAGGCGACCTACCTCTCCGCGGCCAACTGGATGGGACCGGACATGAGCCGACGGCCGGATCCCAGGCGATGGCGTACATAGGGATTTAAGCATATTTAAGCCTCAAAGACGAGTGATTCACGATGAATATATAATAGGGAGTCAACCATGAAGTATTGGTCAACATTGGGATGCAATGGGATTATATAGCAATCATGGTGAACAATGGTGATTAAAACATCAAAAATAGGGACTTACCCAAGACGGCATTGGGATATACACCAACCATAGGAGAATGGGAATTTCATGGGAATATCATGGGAATATAGTTTTTTCCTGGGAATATATGAACAGTGGCTGCTAAACCTCCGTTGGTTGATGATATTATCACAATCCACTCCAAATCCCGTTCTCAACCAACCAGTATGAAGGAACGACACAAACAATTTGAACATTGCTCAAAAAAAAATTGAAAACTCAGCACATTTGAGAGGATGTAACAAACAGGAGACGATATGTAGTGATGATAGGCGGGGATGCACCAAGCAAGTAGTATTTTGGTGCCCAATACATGGCCTTTGCTGTTTATCCCAGTTCGTACTTCGCAAATAACATTGGTTCGCATTTCCCTCACCAAGGTAATCCAATTTGCTTTCAGAGTTTTATCAACCAGTCGCAGCCAGTCGCAATTTCTGAGATCAATATCCGGGTATCACCAGTCTTTTTTTCGGGTTGGCCGTTCTTTATTTTTTTCTAAAGATGCAGTATACCCCGAAAAAATATACAACAGCAAAACCCTGCTAAAAACTGTCTTTTGGGGGTTAATATGTGCATATATGTTACATAATATATATATATATATATAATCTGAAAGGTGTATTGGTGCTTTTTTTGCTGCATCCACTCAACCACTCTGCCAGAGTGGCTGCGCCACTCAGTCACTTTCATAGTTGAACCGCGGGGCGGCGCCGGGAAAACGGAGCGGATGGCCTTAACAGCAGGATGGAAGGAGGCAGGGATTTGCAGCCACATGCTCAAAGCAAAGAAACTGGGAAGCAGAAAAGAACAACAACCATTCCTGAACGGAAAACATATAAACGCTTAATGGCAACCTCCTGAATAGATGGCTCGCCGTTTGAATATCTCCAGCCCGTTTTCCTACTGCTCTGGTCTTCCGACAATTGAAGAAATTGCTCATACTACCCCCGTCGACTCGCCTTTGCAGCGAAGTGTAACCTGCGATTCGCTTCACGATCTAAGAATCTAAGCCACAAGTGATATGACTGCCATGGCCAGTGCAAAAAATCCACTAATATGCTCTCCAATCTAGAGAGTGGATGAGGACGGTACGAGAAGCGGGGGTTAGGGGTGGGTGGGGCGGGGGGGTTAGGTATGGTCAGGTGGGGGTGAGTGACTGAGTGACTGATGCAGTCACTCTGCCAGAGTGGCTGATTGGCAGCTTCGATCACGGCCCATCACGAGGCTCATTGAATTTCCTCACCTTGGGCGTTCCAAATTGCTCACAATTTTGCTCCAGTTGCGGTCACCCTCTCCCAAAAACAAGGTGAAGTACAGGGAAATCTGGCATTACAGACATTGCCATCGGAAACGATGGGGTCACTGGGGGAATCATTGGACATCCGACCAAGGAATCACTTCTTTTGGTCCTCCAAATTCCACAGCTCCATAAGCTCGGTTTAAGCTGGTTCAAAGCACAGCCATACAGAAATTCATCACTCTCCAGGGCATCAAGCTCGAAACTCCCAGAATTGCCAGGGAACAAAAATACACGAACAGGGCTATATTTGATGGTTGAATAATGTTTTTCCATACAGTCATAGATTCAAACATAGCCCATAGTCTAAATTTGACTGCATGAATAAAGCCTATACCTAGAAGAACCCTTGGGCACTCTTTTCTGCCCTCGGCGCCTAGGCAGCCGCATAGGCACTTTCACCCGGAAGTTTGCAAAACTGGGCAGATTTATATTGATGTAGGCATTTTTATCTCAAGATGTTTTTTGTGCTCCGACATCATTTTGTGCCTAGGCATTTTTACCCAGAAGTTAGGCGGAAAAACCCGAAATCTAGGCGGAAAAAAGTGGAATCTGGCAGAATTTTGTTCGAAACATTTTTCTGCACTGAACAACATGACAAGACCATACAAAATTTATCAGCCTCGGCATTTTTTTTTGGGCTCTGGGAATCGGCAGAAATAAACGCCTACAGGCAGGTTAGGCGCTCTTTTCTGCCCAGAGGAGTTTGTAGGTATTTGATGGTCGAAAAAAAATATCAATAAAACCACATGTATCCAACTATATTTGGATTCGGATTGAAAGCCTATGGTTTATTGGTCTTCCCTCCACTCCAGGGAGGCGCAGGAGTTCTGGCCCATCTGCGTTTTCGACTGGGTGGAGGACCACGAGATCTGGCGCCACATGGACGCAGCGCAGAGCCGCGGCTACGTGCGCAAGACGGTGGTGGTGAGATCCATTGCCACAGTGGGTACCTTGGAGGTTTTTGGGGGATGGGGCACCTGCGATGGCCATGAAAGATAGGGAAAATGAGGGGTTTAAAGCATTGGACTTTGGGGCACCTTTTTTTGGAGAACTATGAGGGGAATGGGCTGTGTCAAGTTCAACAGTTCCATATATATAGTAGTGTCATCTGCACAAACCTTGAAATGGAAAATCCATCAAAACCCATGTGTTGAAATTATAAACAAGAAGATTTCGATTCTGCCACATTTGTCTAGCAGAGTAACCTTGGCTCGTGAAAACAAGTGTTAAATCGGGGATGCAGTAGCAGACATCACCAACAAAATTTAGGATAGAACCACAACCAAGCAACCTCGGAATAGAGCTAATAATCCAAATAGACACGTTCGTGATAGAGCTAGCAAAGTCGGGATATAATGATATAATCAGAAAATGAAAGGACCGGATAACCCCACATGTCAACTTCTTCCAACAAGCGGGTTACACGGCATGTCAAGGCAGCCAGATCAAACTGTTACATCATATCCATGTATACAGCTGACTCTGTTCTAAATGACGACTTCTGCGGGTTGCATTTCATGAAGCTGAGGTTTCAATGAATGAAGCGATTGCATTTGCACCGGATGAACCATGGAAATGGCAATGGATGTTGCTGCATTGGAACACACGCAGAGAAACAGCCAACAACAACGTGAGCAGTCTGTCCGAAGCACCGTTCGTAGCATCATGTTTGCAACAAATCGAACAAAATATCTATATATACATCTGACCCTGTTCTACTTGACACTTCTGATGAGTTTTCAATGACTGTTACATCATATCCATATATACATCTGACCCTGTTCTACTTGACACTTCTGCTGAATTTTCAATGAAGCGAGTGCATGTGCACCTGCACGAGCCATGGAAATGGCAATGGATGTTGCTGCATTTGAACACACACACACAGAGTAACAGCCAAAAACGTGAGCAGTCTGCCCGAAGCACCGTTCGTAGCATCATGTTTGCAACAAATCGAACAAAATATCCATATATATATATATATACATCTGACCCTGTTCTTCTGACCCTGTTCTACTTGACACTTCTGCTGAGGTTTCAATGAAGCGAGTGCATGTGCACCTGATGAGCCATGGAAATGGCAATAGATGTTGCTGCATTTGAACACACACAGAGAAACAGCCAAAAACGTGAGCAGTCTGTCCGAAGCACCGTTCGTAGCATCATGTTTGCAACAAATCGAACAACATATCCATATATACATCTGACCCTGTTCTACTTGACACTTCTGTTGAGTTTTCAATGACTCTTTCATCATATCCTTTTTTCTCCATCTGACCCTGTTCTTCTGACCCTGTTCTACTTGACACTTCTGCTGAGTTTTCTTTGACTGTTACATCATATCCATATATACATCTGACCCTGTTCTACTTGACACTTCTGCTCAGGTTTCAATGAAGCGAGTGCATGTGCACCTGCACGAGCCATGGAAATGGCAATGGTTGTTGCTGCATTTGAACACACACACACAGAGTAACAGCCAAAAACGTGAGCAGTCTGTCCGAAGCACCGTTCGTAGCATCATGTTTGCAACAAATCGAACAA